CATCCATCCATCCATCCATCCATCCATCCATCCATCCATCCATCCATCCATCCATCCATCCATCCATCCATCCATCAATTCATCCATCATCTTCTGCTTGATCTAAAGTCAGGTCGTGAGAGCAGCTTCTTGAGCAGGGAGGCCCAGACATCTCTTTCCACAGCCACCTCTTCCAGCTCTTCTGGGAGGATCTCAAGGCGTTCTCAGGCCAACTAAGAGACATAGTCCCTCCAGCGTGTCCTGGGTCTTTCCCGGGGTGTCCTCCTAGTCAAACATGTCTGAAGCACCTCCATAGGGAGGTGCCTAGAGAGCATCCTTACCAGATGGCCGAACCACCTCAACTGGCTCCTCTCGATGTGGAGGAGGAGCAGTTCTACTCTGAGTCTCTCCTGGATAAGTGAACTTCTCACCCTATCTCTAAGGGAGAGCTCAGCTACCCTGCAGAGGAAACTCATTTCAACCGCCTGTATCCGTGATCTCATTCTTTCGGTCACTACAGAGCTCATGACCATAGATGAGGGTCGGAACGTAGACCGACAGGTAAACAGAAAGCTTTGCCTTACAGCTCAGCTCCCTCTTCACCAATTCAATTCAATTCAATTCAATTCAATTCAATTCAATTCAATTCAATTCAATTCAGTTTATTTAAATAGCACCAAATCACAACAAAGTTGTCTCAGGGCACTTTACAGGAACATTCACATACATAAAAGCCAATTAGAAAATTTCTCTATCTAAGGAATCACAACAGACCAGCACAGAGTCCGCACTACTGCAGATGTTGCACCAATCCCTCTGTAAATCTCACGTTCCGTTCTTCTCTCACTCGTGAACAAAACCTCAAGATACTTGAACTCTTCCATTTGAGGCAGAACCTCACCCTCTACCCGAAGAGAGCAATCCACCCTTTTCTGATTGAGGACCATGGCCTCAATATTGGAGGTGCTAATTCTCATTCCAGCTGCTTCAGACTCAGCTGTGAACCGCTCCAGTGAGAGCTGAATATCACGGTACAATAACGTCAACAGGACCACATTATCCATAGAATCCTGAGGCCACAGAACCAGACACACTCCGCCCTCTGGCTGCACTGAGAAATTCTGACCATAAAAGTTGTGAACAAAATCAGTGACAACGAGCAGCCCTGGTGGAGTCCAACTCCCACACTGAAGGGGTCCAACTTACTACAATGTGGCAATGTCCTCAAAATAACCAAGAAAAATACGAAAACAGCTCAGACATAGTACTTTAGTCATATTCATAGCTTTGCAGAGAGTGGTGAAAGCTGCACAGAAGTCTATTGGAGTCAGCCTCCCCACTATCACCGACATCTCCATGCAGAGATGCAGGAAGAGAGCCATCTGCATCATGAAGGACCCCACTCACCCAGCACACACACCCCTTGCCTCACTCCCCTCAGGGAGGAGGTTAAGGAGCATTAAGTGTAGAACCACTAGACTGAGGAACAGCTTCTACCCTGAGGCTGTTAGACTGAATATCTAACCAGATTAATCACAGTGGGGAAAAAAAATCACTGTAATGCCACTTGATTGTTGATGTGTGCTGCTGACTATCCATGCTTCTGATCTCATGCTGCTGATTTAATTCACACTGCTGTGTTCACTCGTACTCATCAACTCACACAGACTCATGTTCATGCTGCTGTTCTTCGGCGTATTGTTTTTGTACTATTAAGCGTTTAGCGTATTCTCAGTTTAGTGTATTTCTTAGTTCATATCTTGGATCTTTATTACTGTTTTCGTTTACAATTTATACTTTTGCTATTGTTGGATGTAACTGGGTGTACACAATTTTATTCCACCTCATGTATCACATGTGATGCGAATGACAATAAAGAAACTTGAACTTGAAATTCTTTGAACAGATATGGCCAAATTATTGTCACTTTACAATCAAGGATTTTTTTAATTTTTTTTGTATTAACATAAATATACCACATGGTAAATGGCTTTTCTTTCTCAAGATACTCAAAGCACTTTACACTACAATCTATGCTCTCATTTACCCATTCATACAGCACTCTACTATATATATACAAAGAATAATCAGAGCTTTATCACATTCATACACCGATGGGACACACATCGGAGGCAATCAGGAGTTCAGTGTCTTGCCCAGGGACACTTTGGCAAGAGACTGCTGGTGGAATGAAACTCACAGCTCTTGCATTGGAGGATGACTGCTCTAGCCTCTGTGCCACCGCTCCCC